CTTAGATTTTCAAAACTGTAAAATCATGTTAACAACCTTCTAATTCGAACTCACGTATCCCTTTTTTGATTTCTAATCTACGCATACACACAAACCTTTTTTGATTTTTAATTCCCACACACACATAAACCATACTTTTAAACATGTAAAAACCTACAAACATCCGATTGATTTGTGATTCAACCATATTTGCTCCAGCCACCATCACCAAATCCATATTTATAGAAACCCACCAAAAGAAATACAAAACCACTTACATTTTTAAGCGAATATTGGCTGGATGTTGTATGTTCTTTTTAGAGAGTAACCCACTTATGTTTTTTCTGAGGCCATTCTAGTATGGTGTTGCAATAGGGTTGGTGCATCGTTCATCAGAGAATGTGGTGGTAAAAGGGATGCGAGGGGAGATTAGGTCGATGGTGAAGTGAGGTGGGTGGAGATGCAGTCAACAGTGAATATGGTTAAGGGATGAGACCCTATGGAATTTCAGTCGACAAAACATGCTACAAGAGAGATACAGAGAGAGAAAAATTGAGTGGGTAACATGTGTTTCTTTATTAAATATGTTTTCTAATAAGACAATAAAAAGAAAAATGAATAAAAAGGGTATATATTTTGTTTCATGTCTGGTGCAGACTAAATCTGAAACAAAACCAAACCATATATATATATATATTCTAAATTTTTTTATACTTTCATATAATTTTAATACTATTGCTTTTAAACCAAATATTTTATAAATGTTCTAAATTTTTCTTACAAGTTTTTTACTTTTTTTGTGTGACAATTTAATATTTTTTTATAACATTTAAAAATACTTTCGTTAAATAGTACTAGTTTAAAATGTTGTATTAAAAAAATTAAAAGCTTATAAACTTTAAATTAAAAAGTATTACAAAGTTGTAATAATTTTAAAGGGATAATGACTTAAAAGAGTAATATATTTTTTGATTTGTACATCTTTGGTCACTGAGTTTTTTTCGTCTATATTTACCCCTTCAACTTGTTAAACTGTACACATTCAGTCCTTATAACCGATTACTCTAGGTTAACCGGAAAAAATTGCTTAATAGGGTAATATATTTCTCATTTTGTACACATTTAGTCCTTAATATTTTTGTACACATTTAGTCCTTAATATTTTTTGTTTCAAAATAAGTCATTTTTGGTTTGTACTCATTTAGTACTTATGAATGATTTCTTCAGGTTTTTCTCACGACATCTTACGTGAGACAATCATTGATGAAGTGTTTGGGGTTGTTGATGCTTGTGTTCATTGCGATCTCGATTGTTTGGTTGTGTAGGTATTGTGGTTTGGCTTAGGTCTTGTGTTCTGAACGTCGTAACTTCTTCATACGATATCAGATTTTAATGATCTTTATATCCACGTGTTCGTTCTTTGAGTCTGCTACAACTTTCGTTAATACTACTCCTATTAAAGTGTAATATATTTTCACTTATGATTTAAAAAAAACATTCATACATGCATTCATAAAAAACGTATGGTATAAAGATCGTTCGTAAAAATATATTACTTTTGACGGGAGTAATATAAATGAAAGTTGTAGTAAACTAACATACGAACGCATGAATATAAAGATCGTTAAAATTCGAGATCGTATGAAGAAGCTATGATGTTCAGAACACATGACCTCAGCCACCAAGTAGTCGAGATCACGATGGACATAAGCATCAAAAGCCCCAAACACCTCATTAATGATTGTCCCACGTAAGATGTCGTGAGGAAAACCTTAAGAAATCATTCATTAGTACTGAATGAGTACAAAAACAAAAATGATTTATTTTGCACAAAAAAATATTAAGGACTAAATATATACAAAAATACTAAGAACTAAATGTGTAAAAAGTGAGAAATATATTACCCTATTAAGTCATTTTTACCGGCTAACCTGGAGTAGCCAGTCATAAGGACTGAATGTATACTAGGCATGAGATTTATAACCGGAAAACCGGACCGGACCCGGAACCGGTTGAACCGGAATATGCTAAACCAGTCCGAGTATTGGGTTTTTAAAATAGCCTTATCTGGGTTTCGGGTATTCCGGGTATGGGTCCAACGGGTCTGGGTAAACCGGGTAAAAGAACCGGAACCGGGTAAAAGAACCGAAACCGGGTTAGATTAATTGGATACGTACGCACATCCTTGTCTCCATATTTTTCACATTGTTCGATGGTGCTCTTCAATCTATGATCGACATTCCTCTTCATTGTTGATTTTTTCCTTACTTAGCCATTGTGATCGACATCAACCTACTCTCTGTGATCAAGTAGCTAGCAAAAAAAATCAATTCACACCTCTACTCTCTGTGATCACGTACTAACCAATTGTATTTGTATTTATTAAGCATCTTTAGAAAATTGAAATTTGGTGGTTTGTCTCTTACTAACCAATTGTATTTGTATTTATTAAGCATCTTTAGATTACAGCAACCTTCTTAAAATTATTAAACATAAAATGCCTTATTATGTACAAAATAGTATATCATAGCTGAATCATTAGTAATTTACAAATTCGTTCGTTATCGTATATTGTTTTTACGAGTTTGATCCAATGCCAAAATGCCATAAGAAAATCTAAATTGTCAGACTTTATAATCAGAAAATTAAAACCATAACAAAAAATTTAAACATTCAAACCAATTATATATAAGATGATAGAACCCCTAAAAAAGTGATGACAGAACAACTCATCTTAGGGGGTGTTTGGATAAATTAGATTATATCTTATTAGCTTATTTGCGGTGAGAATAAGCAATAAGCAATAAGTAATAAGTAAGGGGGGAGATGCTTATTAAAATTAGCTTATTTAGCTTATCTCTACCACAATAAGCTGATTTTTAAGGATTCTTATCCAAACACTTAAATTTAGCTTATTGTGGTGGGAATAAGTAATAAGCAATAAACACCCTCTTTTTTCCCTCTCCAAACACCCCTTTAGTTATCTAAAGCCTAAAATATTCCAACATGACACATTCAAACCAATTTTTATGAGTTTATCCAATTAATATATGTAAAAGTCTTACAATCTACGATCTTCATTGAAAATTCAATTTCATTTCCTTAGGTTACAGTTATATATATATATA